GGTTACATGCTGTTCGAGCATCGCATGAAATTGAAGGCTGGTGGCGAAGAAGTTAATCACTGTTTGAGTCTATCACGGTCTAAATTGTTCATTACAAATAGATTAATATCTAAAACAGAGATGAATATTTCCACAACCGAATTTGAAGATTTGCGTACACTTGTCAAGCAGCGAAAATTTTGCGGTTATTTGAAAGGTGTAATCCTGCGTTTACTAATATGGAAGAAGATGACCCCTGCACAGCAAGAGCAAATTTTGGAAGGAGAAGCAATTAAGGCTTATAGTTCTAAATAAGATTTAAGTTAACTTCTTTTTATTTAGAGCTAGTATATTTAACTAGTAATTATAAGATATACATAGTTGGATTAAATTTATTTTTTACAAAAATAGTAATTTTTTTAATTATTTTTAGGTAAATGTCAAATGAAAGATTACAAAACAGGAAACAATCGCATTTTTCAGCTCTTAAACTAAACATAATTTATTTTTTCGGGGTAAAGCTTTTAACAGTATTGAATGTAGGACATGCCATAAAGCAAAAGCTTAAGCCAATCGATGTGGGTATATTTTGTCCAGCTGATTCTTAGGAAGGCTCAAATGCTTCGGAAACCTAAAGCGAATTTCAAGAAACCAAATTTTATTTCAGAAAATTTTTTTTAGGAAAGAACATTAGTATATTATAGTAAATATACTATGACTTGATAATTATACTTAAATTTTCAGCACAAAAATCTTTCCCCTTAATCAAAAGCCGCATCAGCAAACACAAATTTCTACGAGCGAAATTCCTCACTTGTAGGGGGTCAATCTTAATGCGAATCACTAAATATTCTCCGCCATCTCTAGATGAAACACAAAAACTAAAAAAAAAACAAGTTTTCTTTATTTATTTGTAAAATCTATATCTACTTGTCTTCGAAGGAAGATCTTTGAGCATCCTTACTTTTAGTGTTTTTAATTCTTCTATTTCGCGTTTAAAATGCTCAGTCGAAAGCAATAAATAAAAACGAAGGCCATTAGCAACGAGCAGAGAAGTCAGTCGAATCATAAACCTCCGGTGGAATATAAATGAATAGTCTTCAATGAACGAAACGCGTTGTTAGTGCACAGTCCGCATGATTTTTAATTTCTTTTGGAGTTGCTCAACTAACAAAACTATATCGTTTCATTTTGTTAATACGAAAAAACAAACTCACATAAATGATTTTCTTTCGTTTCGGCACCATGTTATCGAAATCTAATGAAATGCTTAATGTTGAATCCGAAGTAATTCCTCGATACTTTCCACGATATTAACAGCACACTCCAATTTTAACGTTTAACATTATCTGTTAACGTTTTAACATTATCTGTTAACGTTTTAACATTATCTGTTTGCCTTAATACATATTGAGGACAATCCTTCTCAAGAATATTTTTCCACAGAGTGACTTAGTAGTAATATTTTTTGTTTGAGCTTACTTAAATCGTCCTCAGTTTAAAAACTTGGAATATATCAGCCATCATGCCAGCTATTGTAAACGAATTTTTAAAGAAATTTTTGATTTGTAGGCATATACCATCCACACAAAGAGGTTCACTGGTATACTGTTCCACTGAACTATTACCCTGATGCGGAATATATTTATTTATAAACACCACATCTTGTTATGGCTTTCTGTATTTTTTTTTTCAATCTAAACAAAATCCTACCATCCCATTAAATTTCTAAAAAATCAAACTTACTGCCTCGTGCATTTCGGGTAATTGTTTATACCGACAAAAATCTACATGGACTAGAAAATTGATCGGTATCTGGTACACCTCATGGAATTTCATTTAAATCGAACCGTTAGCTAAAATTGGTTTTAAAAAGATCGGTTCCAGATCATTTTCGGAAGCAGTCCTTATCATAATATCGGTAAGCACTAATTTAAAATTTCCTGACAAGTTCGCAACTCTTTCAAAAATACAATATGCAAAAATACATCCATAGTCAAGACAAAATCCCGTCAACTCTGTACCTCGAAAAAACAAAAAAGGTCACAATTTGTCATTTTAAATAAAATTTTCTTCAATATGCTAATAAAGAGATGAGATTCAAAAATAATATTTTAAAAGAAGACAGAAATTTTAATGCAGAAATTTTAATTTTTGTCATAAAAAAATTTACGTACATACGTATGTATATCACATGGAAATCTATTAACGCACTTCTTCGGTATACAGCAATAAGAAAACCAGTGCCCTTGGCGACACAATATAACCAGTAATATCGCCTATTTTGCTTATTTTGCATGATGGGTTTTTTTTATGTATAACTTTTGAGTAGAAGATAATCAAGGCAAGAAATCCGACGAAATGTGAAAACAATTTAATAAACCTGTTTTTACGTCTGAACTTTCCTGAAAATCAGCTGGACAAGATGAAGTAGTTTTCTTCTGCCGATCTCTCGATTTAAATTGATATCAGTCGCTCAATTTGGAGCTATTTGAGAGCGGCTTTTCATTTTTGGCTTTAGTTTAGTCGAGAACACAGCATTATTTCTTTTTCAATGTTTTATTTGTATAAATGTGTTGTTTACCATTTTTAACTATTAAATATAACACACTAATTCTACATAAAAAGAACTTAATTTAAATCTTATTTAGAACTATAAGTCTTGATTACTTCTTATTTTGCTCCCATGGCCATCATAGTTGAACTTCTCCAGAGATAGAAGAAATACCTTCGACCTGAGCAGCCTGCTGTTCCGCCTTCCCGCTCTCTATCTTTTGCAAAATTTGCTCTTGTTGTGCAGGAGTCATCTTCTTCCATATAAGCAAACGCAGGATTACACCTTTCAAATAACCGCAAAATTTCCGCTGCTTGACAAGTGTACGCAAATCTTCAAATTCCGTGGTGGAAATATTCATCTCCGTTTTAGATATCAGTCTATTGGTAATGAACAATTTAGACTGTGATAGACTCAAACAGTGATTAACTTCTTCGCCACCAGCCTTCAATTTCATGCGGTGCTCGTACAGCATGTAACCCAGTGTAGCCTCTGGTGTGGGGTCTATCATTTCCTCTGGAGTTATTTCGATTACTGTTGGCTTAGACATTTTCAAGCATAAAATATTGCTAAACTTGAATTTAAAAAACTTAGAGTAGTCTCTAGTGTAGACTGTTCAGCGCAGACTTTAAACGAAGAATGATTCTGGCTGAGGCTGTTGCTCTGCATTTTATAGGAAACGGCATAGGCCTTCGTATCCTTAAGACGCTAATGCATGCGTGTGTGTGTGTGTGTCTAAACGGGACAGCAGGTAGAGTTACCAATTTCTGTATATGGTCCTTATTGTTTTTAGTTATGAAACATGTACATGTTTGTTGTAGTACAATATATTTATTACCTAGGATTTAAAGGAAATTTTGTTTGTTTTGGTGGGTAATGTTTATACTTTTGTCCCTTAATGCTGCAAAAGTATTTTGTATTCATAATTAATGCATATGTGTTTATTTACACTCATAACTAAAAACATCTCCTAAAAAAAATTAAAAAAAAAAATGTTTTATTGTTTTTGTGTCAATAAAAATCTTTAATACATTTGCAGGCAGCTTTAACCTCCAAATGCCCGCCATTTGTAGAGAATATTCGAAAAATTTTAGGGGGAATAAAATATTTTTGTTCAATCTATCTTTAGTCTTCTTCTGTTCTCTGGCAATAAGTATAAACCAAGAACAACAACAATATAGTAAGATGTCATGTGAATCACGAATGAGATAAGTAAAGAAAGTAATAGACCGTTCGAAATTCGAAGTCTGATCACTAGAGGTACTTGAACTTGAAAAGTAGTTAAAGAGGGGATAATTGTATTAAAGAGAGCTTTAAAAAATTTAACTTTAAATAGTGATCTTCAATCTCGAGATAGTTTTATTTTTTTCTTCTATTTTTTTTTGTGTTTGACTATTCTCTAGGCGTGCAGTATGCCGCGCCAGCTACTATTTTTGAATATAACATATTTACTGAATTTCCATTTTCGATGTGAGAAGTTGCGCCTTTTCCACTTTTTTACAGCTAAGTATTGAGATTCGTCCAAAGTGTGCAATAACCAGAAAAATAAAAGAATGATCCAGACGAGCCTAATTGATTTAAGAAATATCTATGGTCGTTATTATATTTGAACGACATCCAGTCCCTGATTTTTTGAGATATTTAAACAAGATCGGTCAACTATATCATGTATCTCCCTAACAAGCTGTTATTTTGATATATTAGTTTGTGTCATAATTCTCCATTTCGAAGTGTCGGGCGGTGTTTTCCAACAGTTTGACATTCAGTGAGAATTTCACTTCGGGTTTCTTCGTGGTCCATTCACAATAGTACAACCTTTAACCCTTACAAAACGGTTATTAGCGACGGTTAATGTAAATGATTTCTACTCAAACCGGTTAAATAACTCAAGTTGCCGCGATAACCGTGTGGCTATAAAATGTAGAAGACGCGGTGCATGTTCTAGCAAATTCAACATGGTCGTGAATTGTGTGGCGGACGAGCAAGCGAGAGGAGGTGTTCTACTGACATCAGCAAATCATGCTCAAGATGCGGGTGTACCTCTGTTCACTACAAAACAGATGCTAAAACTGGCTTTCGCTGAGAAAAGCGAATATCAGATGCATTAAACACATTCAGATTAGTTTTTTTTTATCCGTAGAACGATGGGGGACTGTTTAAACTTCACATACAGTAAGACAAAGGCTCACTACTTTATTGATTTTCGTCGCATTTCTAAGGACGAAGTAGAGGAAGAATCTGTTGAGCACTACTTCTATGACTGGTCAGCCTTAACAACCACTCGGAAAAGGTTCCTCACGAAATGTTAGTTTCTGCAGATTCATACCCTTTACAAGGCACACCAAGTAGTTCAGCCATATGAGAAGGTGAAATAATCCTCACTGCGGTATCGCTATGAGCATGAAGGGCTTAATTATATAACCCCAAGGAGAAGTCCCTACACGGATACCTTAACTTACGTACATACCTTAACTGAAACGTTTGTATAATGTCTCCGTCCATTTGGATGAATGTATTATTCTTGGCAAAGACAAATGTCTTCTCTTGGCCTGTTTCAGCAAATGTCAGCTCAGGACCACGTTTATCAAAAGGCACCGGGCTGGAGTCCGCCGCATCGTCGCCATACAAAGGTCCCGCTGTGTTGGACGCCAACTGCACCGCTGACTCAGTAGTGCTGGGTTCACTGGTAGTGGAACGTAGAAATGGTGGTAGCGTATCTGCCGATATTAAAAAGAAAAAATTGTACTTATAGTATTTTGGTAAAACTGTGCCTCTCTGAAAACTCACGCGGTCCACCAATGCAGTGATACAAGCACTCGGCCTCTGTGTTGAAACGATTCTGAGGATTGCCATCGCAGCCTCCCCAAATGAATGTTGTGCACTCATTAGTGAGTGGCTCATAGCGCCATTTGTAAATGTATTGCTTGCATGGCCCGGGATCACCTGGGCCCGTGCACTTATCGTACAGCTTCTCTCTGGGCAATACCATGATGTTGCTGCTGTTGGCGCCACTACCGCCAACAACACCCACACCGCCCGCATTTGCGCTGCCCATATTGATTAAATCAACATTGTTGCTGCCGGCATTTACGCCTTGGCTACTGCTGATGCCGCTGCTGCTGCTGCTGCTGCTGGCCGCTATGCCGGTGATGTTGGCGTTGCTTGCAGTGTTGCCTCCACTATTTATGCTTACATTGGGATTACCAATGACATTGTTGTTGTTGTTGTTGTTGTTGTTGCTGTTGCTATTACTATTTACATTACCATTGCCATTTGTACTGCTGCCACTGCCATTGCTGTTGTTATTGGAACTTAAACCTGCGCCATTTTGCGCTGTGAGTGAGTTGGATGGAGCGGCTAGCGCGGTGGTGAATAGGAACGCTTGTGTTAGCAGTAGAAGTAGTAGGAAGCAATGGTGTTGTCGCCATGTTGCCACCTTTCGAGACCGCATGGTCCTGCAGTTATTTGCTGTAAAATGAAAATAAATAAAATTAATTATTGAGTTGAGTGTGATTAAACTATTTTTCAAAGATTTTACATATATTTTACATTTGTCTTACGAGAGTGTGTTTGTTGCCAGACTTTTTTCGTTCGACACTTCCCCTTATCTTAACATCTCTTAAGTGAGTTCATAAGAGATATGAGGTACTAGCATTAAGCCCAAAACAAAGAAAGAAGTACTTAGTATCCGCGTCAGAAAGTTTCATTGCTTTTTCAGTAGGGATTGGATTTTTTTCCATGAATAAAGAGTGGCTTCTGAGAAGAGTAAATATAACTGAGGAACAAAATATTATATTATGAAGCCGCCTTTCCTTTTTGAAGATAAGCTGAATTCAGAAACTCCTCAAAAAATTACTTCCGCCTTCCGGAGGGGGCTTAAATTGAAAGAGTAAGAAAGCGAGGCCATAGTTTTTGGTCTAAAAATTACAAAAAATCAATTTGAATAACAAATGCCCCTTCGGCAGAGAATCACTGCACCTTTCTGACTATTGCTGACTCAAAATTATCGTTATAAGAGAAAAATCCTTCCGCCATTCGGAGGCGGGCTAGAAGAAATGATAGGTCCCTCCACAATAAAGTGCATGCGACAAAACGGAGGAGAAGCTCCTTCGAAAATCGCATCAGCGAACCATATCTGTGGCTAAATTTAAGATTTTATTACTTATTATGAGGCTTCCGTTGTCGAAGAAGATTCAATAAATAAGTATTAATGTTTAAAAATTAAAAAAATTAAAATGTAACTAAAACAAAAGACACCATAATTGGCATAAAATTACGTCAACTAAATTAGTAAATTTAAATATTTTTTATATTTTGTAATTTTTTACCCTTCAAAAGAGAGTAGAACTCTACTGTTCCTCACTCTAATCTAACAAAATCCCCGTCCTTTCCGTAATTCAGAGTTTGGTCTGCCACACAGTAAGTGTTTTAATGTCGGAAGAAATAAATTTTATAAATAATAAAATGAAAGCGAGAGCCATTTCGACGAAAAAAAAACAAAATACAAAAAATACAAAATGTGCAGACATTTTTGTTGAAAAAGTTGAATTTATGTATGTCATGGTTATCACAAAAGCGTTCCGATTAGTGTCATCACGCCAAAATCGTCAAATGCTCTCATCAACTTCTCAGGTAATTGAGTTGTTCGTTTTGAAGCATTTGGTCATTTATCTCGTGTGATTTTTATACATACATATGAACAAATGTACATAACTATATTCAAGCAAACAGCCAACATTAAGTACTCACAATTTTTGCATTTTTTATACCAGGCTATGTGGTGGACACAGGGTATAACAATTTTGTTTGTGCTTGTTTGTGAAAATATAGCCGAATCGAGAAAGATACAGAGGAAAAAGCCACTTCTCTTCCTCATCCTTCTTAAAACTCTTACAACATGATCAGGAATTCAATTGAGAGATAGACTTCTCTGTTCAATGAGCTCCACCGGATATCTATGGCAGCCCAGCTAGATTACAGAGTTTGTTGTTAGCAATTTCAAGGCTTTCTTTGTCATTATGCTGTCAAAGAAACTTTTGACGAGAGCGAAAATTCCAGTCCAAAATACACAGCAATATTCTGATTGAGAAATTTTTCGCTGGGGCTCGCATGAAAACACCTCTATAAACTTCCTTCTCAGAATCCTTAAAATCAACCACAGCGCATAGAACGATATACATATATATATATATAACCTTTATATTGGAACTACCGATTTAAGCGATTTGATGAACGCCCAAGGCTATTTTACTGTCAGATCATACTCCACACTTCCTTGCCAGTCTCGGGAAAGCAGAATAAACGACATTTGTTACGCTCTTATAGAATATTTTATCGTTTAGCGGTCATCTTAACCGAAACCCCGTTTAGTATCTCGAACAGCTCGGAGAGACTCTACCCAACTCTGGCAACTATTGGTGTTTTCATAGCCACTAAAGTGTTGCAGGGATAGCAATTCAGGCATCGAAGCTGTTGTAGACTGATTTAATATCCACGAAGAGGTGGTGTGTGTCGATCGTGATTATTATATGTGTTTTCCAAGATTTGGCACACGGTGAATATCTGGTCGATGGGTGGATTTATATACAGCTTTATAACCGCTGAAACGATTGTCGGCCGAACTACTCCTGTAATTAAGGGTTTTGCGTCTTGATGTTTTTCCAACAAATGGAGGGACCTACAGTTTATACTAAGTCGCCTCTAAGCGGCTGATGGTTTTTTACGAGAAGCCTTAATTTCATGTCAGAAATATACTCGAAGAGGTTGACGTTCCCTGCCGAGGAGCGATCACAATTATAAAATTTAACTTTTTTATTTAAATTCATTTTCTATAACTTTCGGATGATGGTCACTCGGGCATTTGACCCCGAGCCTTCCGAATTACACTTACAATGCTAACCACTCAGCTACCGCGGCCGCCGGCTATAAAGTCACCTTGATAAGGTACTGCCCGTTTATTGCCGGCGGACATTAATCCTGCATACAATACACTAATAGGAACCTTTCATGCGAGGAGCAGATTGTGGTATCTCTTCTCTGTTGGGTTTACCCATGCCCATCGTGTCCAAAATCGGAAGACATATTTCTGTTGATGTGCAGCTTCGCTGCTTTGGATATTCGGCTACACCTGAACTCAGATCCACCTTGATTTTTCCTAGTAAACTTGCATTCTGGTTATTTGGACCAAGCTTACAGCTGCGTGTGTGTGAACATAATAGGTCTGTTGAGTTCAAAATAAATGGTTCACGTGTAAGGATGGCAACAGAAAAACCATTAATGCATAACCCTATGTGCACTAAGGGATGCAAGTGTATGTATGTACGTACGTATGTGGTATTATATGAAGTTTGGTGAAACTATTGTATGATAAGTTTTGTTCCCGGTAGCCGTAGTGGTGATGAGGGAAGCTGAGTTGGCAAGTTGCATTTGAAAGACGTTGACTGATGATGACTTGAATGGGCAGCAATGTATGCGCAGTGTAGCCAAGTGCAAGAGTAAACCGAAAGATCACGAGTGGAATTCGCTTTACTTATGGTTGGTGTAACAACATATCATGACTGGCATATGGCATAGTATATATATGATTGTATAGGTGCATTCATACATATGCGATTTAACTGAAAATGCGCAAATTCACAACTGTAAAAAAGCATTTAGGTGAACATAAAACAAGTTGAGCTATTTAACAGACATATTATCACTCCGTTGTCTTGAGTCAATCAACCAGTGGGAAAAGTTTAACGCCAGGTTAATCCAAGAGAAAGCAAAAATATATTCTGAATTCTAAATTCATTTTGAGAAGAATTTTCCAGAAGAATTCTATACTAAATCAAGCAATCCATGGGACATCATAAACACAAGGTTACGTTCTTCCTTACTTTCAATAATACAGCCAACGCTAGTGTTCTATAGCCGTTTCTAAAGCCGGGCAGAAATTTTTCTCGCTACTCATATTCAAGAGGTCGCCATAGCTTATAGTTAGCATTAACTAAAGCTAGGCGCATTGCTAACTCTGATCGCTTAATTAAAGGGAAATTCGCAGACGATCATACTGACGAACCAAAGTTTCATCAACTGTTACAAATCAGCTGAAAATTTCTTCCAAATCATCTTGGCGCAACTCAAAAATTTTTTACAACTCTCCATTCGTCGCTGCTTGTCGAGCGGCGTGATCAACCAACGCTAATTAATTACAAATTTTTTTCATATTCAAATTTTCATGGCAAATCTCTTTAGCTCATTCTTTTCTACACTGTAATATGGTACTTCGGCTATCAGCTACATTTTAATTCATCGATCATCTAGCATTAATTTTTCGACTTTCTGAACATTTTCGTCGGTTACGACTGTCACTGTTTGCTCCGAGTGGGGGTCATCTTCACAAATCTCTCTTCCTTTCTGAAACAGTCGGGTCCATTCTTTCACCATCGTATATGAAGCGGTAGAGTCCTGATGAATCGATGACATTTTTTCAAAAATTTCTTTCGGCGTACTTTCTTTTTTTACAAGGAATTTAATCACAACGCGGTGCTGCAAATTGTGAGAATTTCTAGTTTATGTTGACATCGTGTTGTTGCTTGTTCCAGGAACGAAATCTTAATGAACCGAATAAAAGGGTTATGTTATTTGCACTGGTAATGATGGTATCAGTAGAGAGTTGATGTATCCAGTGTACTCGCGGTGGCACACCATTTTCGTTGACTTTCTATTTTCCTTAATTTAATAAGACTGATTTCATACATCTTTCTATCAACTTCTAATACCCGGAATCAAATGCTTTGACTGAATTATGTTTAAGTTAAAATCGAGTGTATAATGTAGCTTCAGCACGGGAAATTCTGCTAATGACCCCACTATTGCTCATGCTACAAATCTTCGAAACGCCCTGCGAGAAAAGCATCGATATATCCCACTGCTTCGTCATTTTAAAAGCTGCTTACGCTATTTGAATTTCAACTCAACACAAAACTTAGACGTTTGCGTAAATTGACACTGAGGAATACTATACTGACAGCTACATCAAAATCGGGGAGTACCTACAGGAGCCATTCGATACTAAACGAGGCAATGTGCCTCGTTATGGGGTGAATTTTTTAATTTAATTTTAATTTCAATAAATATAAAAAATTGAAACAAGTATACTCAGTGTACCCAGGGTTGGCTAAAATAGCAACTTACTAGCCTTACTTAATGAATGAATTGAATGAAGAGCAAAAAAGCGGAAGGGAGATATTTGACAATCTTATATAATCTCTCAAGGTCCAGTTCGTAAAGGTAGCGTTTATCTTTCCGAGTGGCTTCTGTATAACGTGCCCCATCAACTTCATTCTCCACCCCAGTCGCTTGATCTAAGCCCCATAGAGCATTTGTGGTATGAATTACACCGTCGTATAAGAAAAACGATGAGAAAAAGCAAATAGGATATTAAAAGCGCGCTGCTTCAGGAATGGCATCTCATATCAAGTGACTTTATAAAAAATTGTTTTTTCTATGAGATATAAATTAAGCGCCGTTCTACAAAAGGAGTATGGCCATACCAAATATTAATTTTCCTTAATTTTTAATTTTTTTGTTGCTTGAAATCAGTTTGTAAACTTTATTGTATTTAAAAAATGGAACTTGTTTGTTTTTATTAATAATTGTTGAAAACTAAGAATATTGTAAATATATAATTTTATTCTTCATTTTAATTCGCTGGGCATACATTTTGTTCTTCATATGTATTGTATATAGCTGAAAAATGCATTGTTTTGGGGGGTATGTAGACTTTATTGGCCCACTGTACATATGTATATTAAGTAGAATGTTGATAACTAAGAACAAATTGAAAGAGATATAAAAAATGTTATCATTCTACCGTACCTTATGATAAAAACCAACGATGCAAAGAATGAGGTAGTTTCACTCAAAATTTTTTTTTTTTCAAAAATATTAACAATCAAAAATAAAAAGATTTTTTGCTTTTGATTTATTTCTGTGCCACAAATTTAATTTAAAAAGAAAATAAAATTTTCAACTTATAAAATTAAAAAAAAAATATTACAAAAATCGCAAAACCTTTCAAAGTAAACAAAAAGTAATAAAAGATAAGAGGTACCCGCAAAAATATCAGAGGCTTGACATTCTGGCGGCTAAGCATTTTTTGATAAAAATGGATATATGAAATATTTTTAAAGTGGCAATATCTTAAAGATAAAATGAAAATAAAATATAATGTCAAAAAATCCTTTTCTATCAATTTTAAATTGAGTGAAGCTCAAGGTTTATAGGATACCAGGTTACGACAAAAGCGAAATCAAAGGTTTAATGACGAAATTGGTTCAATTTTGTGGATGGCCAAAGATTTTAAAATAAATTTTCTTAACATTATCTATAAAAAAAACTCAACATTTTGATTATAAAATTCCAGAGCCTTGCATAGAAATTTGTTTAGAATTAATAAAACTCACTATTAAAACGTTCTGAATGGTTTAGTTTTAAAAAAATCTTAAATTTTAAAAATTAATATTATTTTTTAACTAAAATTTCTATAGCTAGCAACTCTAACTTTTGGTGGCATGTAGTACGAATGGCATCAGAAAATAATGTCAAAAACGTTAAAATATATCAAACTTCTAAGCGAACACGAAATATCATAAAATTTATAAAAAAAAACCCATTTTCACATATTTTCTTTGTCTGTTAAAGAGCTTTTGGGAAATGGATGATCCATATCTTGTGAAGAAATCGTGCTTAAAACTCGAAGCGCTGAAAAAGTGTGCAGTGGGATATTGAAAAAAAAATTTTGAAAAAAAATATTGTGTAAGTGATTTATATTAAAATTTTTTGGAAAAATTCAAACAAACATGCGATATTGGAGAATATACGTTAACCACTCCATTTTATGCTGAAAATGTGTTGTTTTTAAGAAAACTTAAATTCATTATATAGGTACCAATATAATATATCTGCAAGAATAAATTATTGGTTTGCAATATAAGGGACTTACGTATTAAATTTAAACAAATATTTGGTTTTATTCGGCCACTTCGACCTTGGGTTGATCGAAACCTTGCACAGTAGCTTATATTTCGCTAATTTTTGCGCCATATTTTAATAAAAAGGTGGCCAAATATGTGACGTCAGTACATAAAATCAAAAACAAATTTTGTATATTTTTTTTCTTCGGTATAAGGAATTTTTCACATAGTTACATATGTATGTATATACATTTTTTTTTTTGAAAGAAAAAAACTTATTTCGTTTTATTATATAATATCAAATCTCGCCCACTGTATATATGACGTAGTTGGTTAGGCGACGTCACTGGTTGTCGTAACCTTGTATTCTATAAACCTTGAGTGAAACTAAATACCATCCTTTTTTGTATTATAATAAAAACAATTTCATAGCTATTCAATGCTAGTTGTTAGTGTGTACATTTGTACTAGTAAATTCATGTTTGTACATGTTAATAGTTCAGTCATTGGAAATAGCATATAATTACATATATGTATGTATCTAGATATACATACATGTAAAATTTTTTTATATGTATGTATATATAAGACGTTTTGTAACCGCCGAAGCGATTTTCAGACCAGCGAGGATCGGTTTCCAACAAATAGAGGTACCCACAGTCTATACTAAGACCTCTCTGGATGCCTTTTTTATGCGGAGCTTTTAATTCATTATGAAATTCCCTGCCAAGGGACGATCGCAATGGTGGTCAGACAAGGTCCCGAACCCTAACTGTCCGAATGGCAGTACGCAATGCTAACCACTCGGCTATCGCGACCGTTGAAAATAATTAGTTAACGAATAAATGGACATCGCTAGTTAGGTCATGTTGTCCGAATGGGTGAGAGCGCTCTAGCTTTTAAAGTATGCTATGCAGTAAACGCCGGGAAGGATCGACCTTTGTAGTTGAGTCAATATCAGTGCATGTTACCAAGCGGAAAATAATTGGTTCGAAAGCAAGGCCAGCATCAAATATTGTTTCTAAATGCGGTCGCCCCTCCGCAGGTAATGTCAATTCCTCGCAAGTATTTTTCCGACATTAAAGAACTAATCTCAATATTCCTTTTATGTTTGTTGTACATAACAACAAAGGATGGTCAGAATAATTAAAGTAGGTAGCAGAAAGAAACATTGTTTAAAATTATATAATCTGTTTTCATTTAAAAATAAATAAAATTTCCTGGAAAAGAGATTGGTAAGCCTGACGGCTCATATTCAAGGACATTGAGAAAAATATCTTTCCCTTGCAGCACATAACAATTTAAATGTGAAGATCATTAAAATGGTAACTACTACAACAAATAAATTTAAGGAAGAATTAACTGAAGACTGTACGCATATCTGCATGGTAGATCAACACTCGTCTCTAGACACGCGTAGGTATAAAAGAAAGCGAACTTTCGCTAAGGACATCATTTACACGCAAAAGGTGAAAAAGTATCGAAGCCACACTCAACGCACTCGTCCGAAATATTTGATTGCACCAACAACGATGGAACCAAAAATTAATAAACCCTCTTTGCCCTATCAGTTATACCTTCATCATGAGGAAATCCGTAATCCAAAGTCCAAAGTGCTACGTCGCATTAAATCGAAAATGCAGTTAACATCTCAATTGATTAATGACAACATTGAGCGGTTGGATGAATTTAGCACGCAGGATATGATGGCATTGAAACGTCAAATGCATTTTAAGGACGAATTAAAATTTACGGCCGACTTAATCAAAGAGATTAGAGAAGACACGAAACACGATAAAGTACCGAGTACTTGGTTATGAGGCGGGAAGGATAATATTTTCAAAGACACGAAGAATATACTTGCTCTTAATGTTATTAGTTATACAACACAATCGTTATTATATTTATGTATGTTAAGAATATGAAATAATAAATATTTTATTTTTATTTACGTGTAAATTGTTTTCAACAAATAAGCCAGAGAGAACTTCAAAATTAGAGACATTACCTTTCTAAGGCTGATTGTAGGTGAATAAGCACTCAAACAATGAATCACTTAGGAGGTTAAGCAACACCACAAATGAGATGTGTTTCTAAATCTATTGTGAAACAGTCTTTATTTATTAGCAGCTACCAAATTCGACCATATGTTGTGGTGTCTTTCTGTGCTTTCTGCAAATTTTTATTATAATTGACATTGCAGAGAGTGAAGGAAAGCCCAAATAAAGCATCACTCAATATTAAAAATTAAGTTTGGATCATGTTTGTTACTGCCAATTGTTCACTTCGGCTTACGGACAGCTATGAAACAAAACATACTCGCCATTCCGACCGAAGTGCCTTTTAGCACATAATTGTGAGTACCAGGCGAATTTTTCAACCCTCGCAAATGTCAGCCAAACGAGATAGAATTCTTTAAGCAGTTACGATTCAGGCGACACGTGCTTTCACTAAGCCTGGTCGCAGGCCACAGTACAAAAAGCAGCTAAATACCTTTCAGCGCATTCGATTAATGGACCATAAGCCACTTAAGATCCTGTAACACTTCCACCGCGGGTCGTACCAGCAAATTATTGTGGTGCAGGGTCGACAGACTCTAGGGATATCATCTCCACAAGCTAGGTAAAAAGGAATCAGATGAGTACAAAGCACAAATAACCTAACGCTGGAGCATTACATTTGTCCGACTTGTCGATTCCGACATCACATCTTTTACGGTGTTCCCAGATTCAACAACCTTGCGGAGGTGGGCAAACATGATTGGAGGAAATTAAAAAAGTTTATTAAAGCGAGCGAAATGTTCGCATAAGTATTATTCACAATAAGCCTATTCTTAGATGCGGCCGCTTTCGGTTAGATTATCAAAATCCAATCATTGCTATTTGCTTATTAACGCACAATCTGCAATCATCGTGGGATCATTCCAGACTTCTTACTTACACTTCTACATTTTATCACGCAAAGAGAAAATATCTTACAATTCGATATTATTAAAAGTTTTCCTACAATTTAATGAAAAAGCGACAGCATTACAATATACTTATATAATTCAAAATATAAAATTTAAAAAAATATATTCCAAAAGAGTTATTTTTAAGCGGAAAAAAACATTCTTGCTATTCTATCTTGCGTATTTGTTAGTTCCATGTCGTGTGGTTAGACCTGTATATTACCATTCGGTGAGCCAGAATTCGAGTTTTGGTTCGACCAACACTCAAAATTATAGAAAATTCATTTTTCTAATTGCGGTCGCCTCTCGGCACGGAATTTCAAGCCCCACGAGGGTATTTAAAAGCCAAAAAAATTGTGTTGGATTATGGTTTTTTGTATTTTATATTTCTGGTTTTTATAAATGCGGATTTCATTGGACCCAGTCAAAGTCAACGAACCTCATCAGTTTGGCTTCGGATCTATAAATCTAGCATTTATTAGATATTAACCATGCGCCCAGTAAAAACCATTGAGAAAAGAGTCGACCGACACAAGCCAGCTTTTCGTCGGGAAGAGAAACAGGGTGACCCTTAATCAAAGCAAAGTTCAAAGAACTCATTAAATTTAACTAAAGAAATTCGAGTAAGTGGCTTATAGTTTTCGATAGAAAGATTTTTCGAACGTTCTATGGACCTTTACACACTAGTAACGGCAAATACAGCAGTAGATGGTACGACATTAACAAAACTCAGCGAATTAAGAGTTAGTGGCTATGCCAAGGAGAAGGATGCTTTTTATACAGAAGGTACCTCTTTACTTTCTGATGAAGCTTTCGGCGCAGTGGAAGCAAAAGGCACTTGCGCTTGTTCTTCAAAATAAATTTACGCATCAAAACATTTTCAGTACATTTCACAGCTCATTTTGGCTTAGTTAGCAAATTATATTCAAATAAATTCTTCATTTATTCTTTACACTCACCGAAAATTATTTTTATGAAACACTTGATTGATTACATTTGCCGACTGGGGCGCCCAAAGTACGCCGCGAAGGCGTGTAAAACTTATATGAAAATGTAGCACCAGAATTTGCAAGCGCCATTGGCTAGATATTTTGTCAAATATTTCTATGGCACAGAAGATTGTTTGTATAAAATTTTATTAATATTTTGTACATAATATACAAACTCACATCTATGTATGTATGTATGTATGTAGATACAAAATTTTTTATTTTAAAATTTAAATGAATATTTTCAAATATTTTTATTTCTTTTATATTTGTGTACACATTTGTTTTTAGGCACTTTTTGATTTGGTAATATTTTGACTTTCAGCGGTATTTATGTATGTGTATATATATATATTTATTATATTTTGTAAAAATAGATTTAATGCATTTGAACTAATCTTCACATACTTTTTTAATTGCATTGACTTTTTTTCTTATTTTTTTCCATTTTATTTAAATTGTCATGAATAATTTTCTTTTAAATAATTTACATCTAATTCATTGGTACTAGTATTTATGAAAATATCTTTGTGTTTTATTTTATTATTAGCATACTTTTTTATTGTTAGTTCATTGTTTAATGACTCCAATAATTATTTTTTGAACACTTATTTCTATTCGGAGGTCCACTAAGTAAAAAAAATACACAATATATCATACAATTTTAAGATTTCGTTGTCCATAAAAATTTTGGAATATTCTAATCTTGTGTCATTTTGAAGTGGTAAATATTTTTGAATGCCACTTTAAGATTATTTTTGTTGTATTGATACGTAATCTGCAAAGATTTGAAATTATTTTCAAAAATTAATTAAAAAAAAATACACCTAAAACGGCATCACTTCATACTTTTAGCACGTTTATGCTTTATTTTTACTCGGGTTTACTCTACTCGGGTAGATTAAACTCGAAAGCATAAACACTTTTTCATCACGAATTAAGGCGTGTACACGGGTAGATTACACACATTTTCTCTATATACTCGTACGTAGAATCGTTAACTCGGAAGCATAAACGCGGGTTGATTTGAGATCAGCTGATTTGCATTTAACCTGCTTGATACAGAGTATCTGTGTTGCTAACTTTTTGCCAAAAATACAATTATTTATCTAAAATTTTACCAAAACTTAGAAAAGTTGGACATGGCAGTTTTGATATTGACTACTTTCTGAATTCAACGCTAGTAGTACATTTGGCATTTATGTAGGCTTAACCCGAGTATAATAAACCCGCGTAAAAATGAGGTATAATTTGTTTTGAGAGTCTCGTACTGTGATGAAGACTTCAACGTTTTTTCATACCCCAAATCGAAAAATATTAATTAGGGATCTCACAGAAAAAAACACCGAAAATATCGGTGATAATAAAAATGGAAACAACACTAACCGCGTATTTTTGATATGATAACAAATGCTCATAAACTCCCTTGACAGTTTGGAGGAAGATACGCAACACAAATCGGAGTAGAATTATCACTTACAAACAGTAATTTCTAAAAATTGCATGTTCATATTTTGCTTAAGTAATTACATTAGACCGCAATGACATTATTGTAACTCCTTTGTCTACAATGCGGAGTGGAAGTTTAAGAATTTTCCCGCGGTAAGGAATCCAAAAGTTTCAGCGACAGTCGGGTCTTTTTACCGAAACGAAACGGATTTTTATCTGGCCTATTACTCTGGCAACACTGATCAATGTCAACGACGGGCGTTTTTGCATCTTTAATCCATATTTTATGTCTTTTTTCATGTTCAAAAAAATTACAATTTTTGAATGTCTTGGATTGGATATGACAAGTTTTCGGCTGTTTTTATTGTTAACTTTATCTGTAATAGTCACTTCTTCTTCTTGGCGTTATAGCCGTCACTAAATTTATATAATTTTGGCGGCTTTTGTTTGTGAAAATAAATGGCTTAAAGAATTTGTATAAAATTTTGCATAAAAAATAAAATAAAGTGAAACAAAGGGCGCGAAATGTTAGCAAGAGCCTATGGCTGGTCTGCTATGAGTATGGCAAGACTTTACGAATGGTATAAGCGTTTCCAAGAAGGCTTAGAAGACGTTGAAGATGATGAACGCCATAAACGCCGCAGTTTATAAATTTAATTTTTAAATAAAACTTATTTTACTATTTCTCACATAGCTGCATAGCTTTTGCTGTGAGCCACTATATATATTACGAAAGCTATGATAAAAAATTATTAAGCTTATTTTGGAATACAGCTCGGTAATTTGGAACCCGCGATATCAAATCTGCTCTGATAACATATAATACATTCAAAAACAATTCCTCCTTATTGCCTTGAGATATTTGGATTACTACTTTGAATATCTTATTCCTTATCGTACTAGTCTTCTAAAACTGATTATACTCCCCTCTCGTCCTAGTCGTAGAGAAATACTTCGTGTTCATAGTTAAAATAAAAAACTTGTTAAATTTTTAGTCTCCTTTTTCTTTCTGAAATCAAATTTAAATGTTTTCTTAATATGGCCCACACTTTTCTGTACCTTGCTTCTAAAACTTGTATAAAAAAATATTCGGTACATCATGAGCGATCGCGGAATCAGAATTAGAGAAGTAGCTCATGATGTGGGCACATCGATTGAATTATGGTATGAAACTTTCTCCAATGATTTGGATATGAAATGTATGACATCGAAATAATATTATGCACACTTGTCCTTTGATTTTAATGGCATGGTTGATCATGAAACGCTCCCACCAGGTCAAACGGTCAGTGGGGCGTGCTTTCTACAAGTTAACCGTTTGAGTGCAAAAAAAAAAACAAAAAATCCTACTGACTTTGGAAAACCAATTCATTACTTTTGCCTCACGATAATGCACCTTCTCACACTTCATTTCCTGCTTGTAATTTTTTTTGGCAAAATTTCTTACTTATCGTTACAGCCCACACAAACGCCAGAAATTACTCCACCAAAAATGACTCAAATAAAGATAACCTCAAAGTAC